GGGGATGGGTGAATCTAGGGATTGGGGGATCTAGGGATGGGTGAATCTAGGAATTGGTGGATCTAGGTATTGGGGGATCTAGGGATTGGGGGATCTAGGGATTGGGGGATCTAGGAATTGGTGGATCTAGGGATGGGTGGATCTAGGGATTGGGGGCTCTAGGGATGAGTGGATCTAGGGATGGGTGGATCTAGGGATGGATGGATCTAAAGATTGGTGGATCTTGGGATTTGGGCAGATGAGGATTTGAGGGTCTAAGGATTTAGCGGTTGAAGGGTTTAGAAATCTAGGGTTTTGAGGGTCTAGGGATTTGGAGATTTAAGGATTTGGGAATTTAAGGATTTCGAAATTCCCGGATTTGAGGATCTAGGGATTTAGAGATCTAAGAATTTGTGATACTAGGGATTTAGAGATTTAAGAATTTAGGAATCTAGGGATTTTAGTTCAAGGAAGTTCAAGAATGTGGAAATTTTGGGATTTGGAGATTCAAGGATTTGGGAATCTAGGGACTTACAGATTTCTGAATTTAAGGAACTAGGTATTTAGTGATTCAAAAGTTTTGGTATTTATGGATTTGGAGATTTCAAGAATTTAGTAATTTAAGGATTTACTGACCCAAAGGTACTAAAGCCTAGGAATTGAACGATTTAGGGATTTGGGGATGGGGAAATTTAGGAATATGAACATTTAATAATTTAGGAATTTGGAAATATGAAAACTTGAAAACAGGAAAATGTACAAAATTGTCAACTTTCAATTTTTATATTTAAAATTCCTAAATTCTATGCCATCGCGTTATATCGCCGCTCGTCATATAAACTCGCACTATATCGCCATCCATTACATCGCCATTATCAACAAATCACAATCCACAATAAACCTAAACCAAAAATACAGTGCTTTGCAAGATTATATCACCGTGCGTCATATAACCTCGCGTTATATTGCCATTATCAAAGAACTACTATCGTTATATTGCCATTATCAAAGAATTACTATCCGTATTAACCCTAAACCAAAAAGACAGTGCTTTACAAGATTGTATCACCTCGCGCCATATACCCTCGCACTATATCGCCACTCATTATATCACCGTTATCAACGAATTACAATCCAAAATAATCCTAACCCCAAACACAGTGCTTTGCAAGATAGTATCGCCTCGCGTCATATACCCTCTCACTATATCGCCACCCATTATATTGCCATTATCAACGATTCAGAATCCGCAAGAAACCAAAGCCGAAAAAACAGTGGTTCGCAAGGTGATCCAAGTGTCGAGCACATTTCCTGTTTTCCGCGATAACCTAACACGTCATCCTTTGAATTTTCGTTCTCGATGGATCTCGACTCGATGCAGCGAAATGCTTCACGATGCCTGGCTATTTTCAGCCACGGTTCAACGAGAAGAAAACCGGTCCGTGTAAACACGGACCTCCTGTTAATCCAACGTTGCATCTTATCAAGGTTATCCTTGTTGCACGATGGCTAGCAATAACCTAATAGCGTTTCATCTCTCGCAACTTTCTCACCGAACCGCCATAACTTTGCTCGCCATATTTACTTACTTCTCGCAATTACAGAAAATATCGGAATTAATCATTGTAGAAAATTACACCCTGCGTCTGCAACCCGTTATTACCGTCTCAACATTTATTAATATCTCGTTAAGTGTTTATCTTGCATAAAAGTTTTATGCATTTATTATGAACCTGGGTAGCATTAAATTAGTATGATAGAATTACTGATGAAATTGCTGATATAGCAACAACTATTTCAATTTGAAGGTCTATAAAGACACCTCACTCAAATTTATTATAATTTTAATCAATATCTTACTTAGGTTTTCAGCTGTTTATGAAAATGTTCACAATCCCTAATTTTATCTTCACAAGTTTAAATTTCCCGCCAAAATTATTTTTAAGCGTACGAGTCTCTCAGAATCCTCATCTGATTTTAAAATTTATTAGATTTGTTGTTGATTATGATATTCTAAGAGACTCGTGATGAAAATGATTAGAAGTAGTATAATGTAAAAATTACTAGTATTTTTATAGTGTATATATAGTTATAATTATTAATTTATCTCAACGACGCCTTCCTACTTTCATCGTACTTTACCATGATGGTTTTCGATTGTTTCTATGGGCGGTGTGATGTATAATGCAGATAGAGATGGCAACAAAGTCACAACAGTGGTGGCTACACCCGGTGCTGGCCCAGACCGCCCCCAAGAAATTTCCTATACAGACACTAAAGTAATCGGTAATGGAAGTTTTGGTGTCGTGTACCTAGCAAAACTATGTGACACGGAAGAACTTGTCGCCATCAAGAAAGTTCTCCAAGACAAACGATTTAAGGTACGAAATATTACACTTCTCTTCTTTCTCTTTCTTTATTGCATTTTCATCTTATTGAGTTACCAAGTCACTAGGTTTTTGAATTCCTAAGTTTTCTAGTTTATAAGTTACTAAATTCCCTAGGTCTTAGATTACAAGATTTTTCAGTTTCTAGGTTACCAAATTCCCTAGTTCCCTAATTACCAAACTCCCTACTTATTAAATTACCAAATTCTCTAGTTCCCATATTCCCAAATCCCCTAATTACCAAATTTCCAAATTCCCTAGTGCCCATATTCCCAAATCCCCTAGTTCCCAAATTTCCAAATTCCCTAGTTCCCATATTCTTAAATCCCCTATTTCTCAAATTTCCAAATTCCCTAGTTCCCATATTCTTAAATCCCCTATTTCTCAAATTTCCAAATTCCCTAGTTCCCATATTCTTAAATCCCCTATTTCTCAAATTTCCAAATTCCCTAGTTCCCATATTCTTAAATCCCCTATTTCTCAAATTTCCAAATTCCCTAGTTCCCATATTCTTAAATCCCCTATTTCTCAAATTTCCAAATTCCCTAGTTCCCATATTCTTAAATCCCCTATTTCTCAAATTTCCAAATTCCCTAGTTCCCATATTCTTAAATCCCCTATTTCTCAAATTTCCAAATTCCCTAGTTCCCATATTCTTAAATCCCCTATTTCTCAAATTTCCAAATTCCCTAGTTCCCATATTCTTAAATCCCCTATTTCTCAAATTTCCAAATTCCCTAGTTCCCATATTCTTAAATCCCCTATTTCTCAAATTTCCAAATTCCCTAGTTCCCATATTCTTAAATCCCCTATTTCTCAAATTTCCAAATTCCCTAGTTCCCATATTCTTAAATCCCCTATTTCTCAAATTTCCAAATTCCCTAGTTCCCATATTCTTAAATCCCCTATTTCTCAAATTTCCAAATTCCCTAGTTCCCATATTCTTAAATCCCCTATTTCTCAAATTTCCAAATTCCCTAGTTCCCATATTCTTAAATCCCCTATTTCTCAAATTTCCAAATTCCCTAGTTCCCATATTCTTAAATCCCCTATTTCTCAAATTTCCAAATTCCCTAGTTCCCATATTCTTAAATCCCCTATTTCTCAAATTTCCAAATTCCCTAGTTCCCATATTCTTAAATCCCCTATTTCTCAAATTTCCAAATTCCCTAGTTCCCATATTCTTAAATCCCCTATTTCTCAAATTTCCAAATTCCCTAGTTCCCATATTCTTAAATCCCCTATTTCTCAAATTTCCAAATTCCCTAGTTCCCATATTCTTAAATCCCCTATTTCTCAAATTTCCAAATTCCCTAGTTCCCATATTCTTAAATCCCCTATTTCTCAAATTTCCAAATTCCCTAGTTCCCATATTCTTAAATCCCCTATTTCTCAAATTTCCAAATTCCCTAGTTCCCATATTCTTAAATCCCCTATTTCTCAAATTTCCAAATTCCCTAGTTCCCATATTCTTAAATCCCCTATTTCTCAAATTTCCAAATTCCCTAGTTCCCATATTCTTAAATCCCCTATTTCTCAAATTTCCAAATTCCCTAGTTCCCATATTCTTAAATCCCCTATTTCTCAAATTTCCAAATTCCCTAGTTCCCATATTCTTAAATCCCCTATTTCTCAAATTTCCAAATTCCCTAGTTCCCATATTCTTAAATCCCCTATTTCTCAAATTTCCAAATTCCCTAGTTCCCATATTCCCAAATTTCCAAATTCCCCAGTTTCCATATTCCCAAATCCCCTAATTACCAAATTTCCAAATTCCCTAGTGCCCATATTCCCACATCCCCTATTTCCCAAATTTCCAAATTCCCTAGGTTTCCATATTCCCAAATTCCCAAATCTCCCATTTCTCAAATTTCTAAATTCCCCAGCTCCCAAATTCCCAAATCCCTATTTCCTAAATTCCCAAATTCCTTAGTCCCTAAATTTCTAAATTTCCAAATTCTCAGATCCCAAAATCCCTAAACTCCCAAATTCTCCTTAAATTTCCAACTTTACAATTCATCCCAATCTTCCCTAGGGAATTTAAAAAACCTCCACCCCTATTTCATGTCATTTCAAAATAAAAATTATAGACTTTCATTTTTTTCTCTCTAAAGAACGAAATCATCTTTCAGTCCCACTTTTTTATCTGATAAGATTATTCTATTTGACGAGCGATAGTAGCTTCAAAAAAAAAAAGAAATAACTGTACTTTCTATCAACGATGAACTAAATACCACCGTCGTTTCACAATCGTATTTCATTTTCTGTTTGCAGAATAGAGAATTACAAATAATGCGACGTCTGGAGCACTGCAACATCGTGAAACTGAAATACTTCTTTTATTCCAGCGGTGATAAGGTAAATATTCCTATTCGTTTATGTATATGTCCGTCAGTGGCGCACCCAGAGGGGGCGCCATAGGGTCCTGAAATTATTCTGATTAAAAAAAAAATTACTAGATAATTTTACTCAAATCTTTATTTTAATTTAAACTTGTTTTTTTTTTATTTGTGTTGTGTATTTGTATTCTGTACTATTTATAAGGCAGTTATTTATGAAACAGTTATGGAGCGGTCATTTAGAAGGCAGTCACTTATAAAGCAGTCATTTATAAAGCAGTTATTTATGAAATTTGAATGAGAATTTTGTTAAAAAGAAAGTAATTTTGTTCTTATTTTATATTCTGGTTCTATACTATTTATAAGACAATTATTTATGAAACAATTATTTATGGTGCAGTCATTTATGAAGCAGTTACTTATGAAATTAGAATGAGAATTTTGTTAGAGGAAAAGTAATTTTATTTTCATTTTATACTCTGGTTCTGTACTATTTATAAGGCAGTTATTTATGAAACATTTATGATGCAGTCACTTATGAAGCAGTCATTTATAAAGCAGTTATTTATTAAACTTAACTGAGAATTTTGTTTGAAAGAAAAGTAATTTTAATTTCATTTTTTAAGTAAAATTCTATGGTCACCTTATTGTTATATTTCAATTCATTGATGAATTTATTAATTGTTTATTCTATGCACACATTTCCACTGTAACATTTAACTAGCGGTTAATACATATGTCATTTCTAATATTTTATTTATATCAAATTTAGATATTATTACGTTAATTGTATTATTTATTGTTATCTATAATCAATACAATTAACCAAGGCAACGCCATACAAATGTGGATTTAATTCAAATTCTCGATTACCATTTACTACTCAATTATTCTTAACTATTCCCAATTTGTTTATATCAAAATTATTTTAATCCCTTCAATTTTTTTTATAGCCCCGTTTAATACAAGTCAGCTATCATCTCGTTAATTATTATTACAAACAATAATTTCTATTAACATTAATAATATGACATTCAAGCTGTAACAATGATTTCCATATAAAATAATAAATTTCTATAATTTCCTATAATTTAAATACAAAATTCAAATCGTTTCCACATGAAATTGAAATTATTTCTATTAAAATTGAAACTATTTCTATAAAAGTTAAAATTAAATCTATTGAAATAGAAATTCTGTGTGCGCCATTGAGGTTCACCAAAATCCTTCGAAATTGATCGCAATCCGTGCAACGTAATTGGTCGATAAACGCTCTGCCATAATCGCGCAGGATTAACCCTCCTGTCCGAAAAATCCACACGTTTACGGGTAGCAATGTCGATGTATGTTGTTACACGTGTAAACGGCCCAACATATTCGTGTTAGTTTTAATGCATGCTACGTTGTTGTGTTATTTTGTAGAACATCTTAAACGCGACTAATCCAGTATTTCACGTGGACGTAAGTGAAAACAAGAAGCGAACCCAGTAGTTTGACGGAGAGTCCTTTACTATCCTAACGAATATTAGGCATTATCGCTTGCACATGGACGGATGAACGACAGGAAACGATGCTCACTGTCTCTCGTTTTCTCGTCTTGAATCGTCGATGTACACGAACGTAGAACACTATGTCCGACAGTCTACATGTATAGTCATCGCCGAAGATTTTGATCGTTACTGGTCGTTTTACAGTGATGGGCACATCATGTTCTTTATTTTTATTTTTATATGTGTATAGAACGTGCTGTATATTGGGACATTTTTACTTTTATTGCTACTGCTGTAGAATTATCAAGTTTACAGTTTTTTCTTTTTTTTATTAAAGTTGTATTGGCATGCTCACTTTTTACGTACTTTTTTTTAGTCATTCATGTTCTTTGATATTCCTGAGTCCTTTGGAAGCTTTGTGTTAAGATGCCTGTCTGAAAATGTGACTTCAAACTTTTCAGATGTTCAAAATTTTGTGGCGTTGAAGTTTAAAAAATTACAAGGACTAAAAGTATAGAATTTTTCAAGGTTCAGAAACCTCAAAATTTTTCAAGGTTCAAAAACCTCAAAATTTTTCAAGGTCCAAAAACCTCACAATTTTTCAAAGACCACAAACCTCACAATTTTTCAAGATCCAAGAACCTAAAAATTTTTTTATTTCAAAATCATGAAATTTCTATAACATCCTGACATTTCAATATCAATAATTACATAACCTTGAAGTTTACAAAATTTTCCAAGATCCAAAAAACCTTGAGGTTTTTGAAATTTTCAAAATTTTTGTAATTTTTCAAAGTCCAAAAAACCTTGAGGTTTTTGAAATTTTCAAAAATTTTGTCATTTTTCAAAATCCAAAAAACCTTGCGGTTTTTGAAATCTTCAAAAATTTTGTCATTTTTCAAGGTTCAAAAAACCTTGAGATTTTTGAAATTTTCAAAAATTTTGTCATTTTTCAAAATCCAAAAAACCTTGAGGTTTTTGTAATTTTCAAAAATTTTGTCATTTTTCAAGGTCCAAAAATCTGGAGGTTTTTGAAATTTTTCAAGATCCAAGAAACTCAAAATATTTTAATATTAAAATCCTAAAATTTCAAATTCCAAAATTCCATAACTTTGAAAATTTTTAAATTCCAATCTTCCATGGTCCAAAAAGCTTGAAATTTTTAAACCTCAAAGTCATGAATTTGAAAATTCTAAGACTCCAATGTCCAAAAATTTAAAAATCCTAAAAATTTTAAATCCAGAAAATCCAGCGCCCCAAAACGCAAAAATCCCAAAATTTTTAAATCCAGAAAATCCAGTGTCTCAAAATCCAAAAATCCCAAGTTTGAAAATCTCAAAATTCAGAAATCCTAAAATTTCTAAATCTAGCTCCTCAAAATTCAAAAATCCCAAAATTTAAAAACCCAGTGTTCCAAAATCCCAAAATCCCAAGTATGAGAATCCCTAAATTCAGAAATCCTAAAATTTTTAAATCCAAAAATTCCACTACTCCAAAACCCAAAATTTAAGAATCCCAAAATCCTAAATCTTCCAAATCCAGTATCCCAACTTCCAAAAATCCCAAAACCCTAAAATTTCAAATCCCCCAAAAAAATTCCAAACCCCAAAAATTTACAAACCCCAAAAATTTCCAAATCCAAAAAATTCCCAAATCCCAAAAATTCCCAAAATCCCAAAAATCCCTAAAATCCAAAAAATTCCCAAATCCCAAAATTCCCAAAATCCCAAAAATCCCTAAAATCCAAAAAATTCCCAAATCCCAAAATTCCCAAAATCCCAAAAATCCCTAAAATCCAAAAAATTCCCAAATCCCAAAATTCCCAAAATCCCAAAAATCCCTAAAATCCAAAAAATTCCCAAATCCCAAAATTCCCAAAATCCCAAAAATCCCTAAAATCCAAAAAATTCCCAAATCCCAAAATTCCCAAAATCCCAAAAATCCCTAAAATCCAAAAAATTCCCAAATCCCAAAATTCCCAAAATCCCAAAAATCCCTAAAATCCAAAAAATTCCCAAATCCCAAAATTCCCAAAATCCCAAAAATCCCTAAAATCCAAAAAATTCCCAAATCCCAAAATTCCCAAAATCCCAAAAATCCCTAAAATCCAAAAAATTCCCAAAATCCCAAAAATTCCCAAAATCCCAAAAATTCCCAAAATCCCAAAAATTCCCAAAATCCCAAAAATTCCTAAAATCCCCTAAAATTCAAAAAATTCAAAAAATCCCAAATATCTCACAACCCTAAAACTCCGAACCCAACCCCCAATTCCCAAACCTGCAAACCTCCCAAACAAAAACTCAAAACTTATCAAATCTATTCTCAAAATTTCTCTTACAATAAGAAATGTTCCATGATTTCAAAAGGGTTGAAAACTGCTCGTATCTAAAATAAATCTACTATACATTTTCGGGAACCTAGGAAAAGTTGCCCATCACTGTTCTAACGTTGCAACCCTTTCGTGATCGAATTAATCCTTTTCTTTCTTAAGACTGTGTAGTTGATCTACCTTTCGTCGACTTTTTCCATTGGCCGTGCAAATATATGTGCGTCGCTACAACCTTCATCGTTTCTGGAATACATTGATACACTACGTACATGGAACCTGTTCAAAGGTGGATGATGAGTGGGAGAAAAATATTGCGAAAAAATAGAACAGGATAATCGAAGTTATGCTCGTACGATTCTTTTCGTACGATGGGTTTACATCTATAGAGAATGCTTTTGCTAATTAAATTAGGGGTCGCACGGAGTTGTTCGACTCAATAATTTGACTTCTTTCAAGGCTGCTTTCTTTAAGAAGAAATTTTTATATTTTCTTTCAAAAGAAATTTTAATCTTCAAAAAGAAATTTTAATCTTTTAGAAGAAATTTTAATCTTCAAGAAAAAGTTTTAATCTTTAAGAAGAAATTTTAATATTTTCTTTAAGAAGAAATGACCCCAACATTTTTTCAAGAAGTACCACATTTGTCTTCCAAAGCAAATTGTCAGATGATTAAAAAAATTGTAAATGAGTATTTAAATTGTTAGAGAAAGTTAAAAAAGAAATTGTGAGAAAATATTGAAAGCTAAGTTTATTAAAGGTAAATCAGCCCAGATAAATTTTGTAAGTCATAATAGATCCATAAGGCCATTATCTGACATAACTGAATTCTAAATTCTCCGTGCCCTCATTACAAAGTCAAAGTACCTTGCGAAGTTATTGAGCCAAAATCTTCGGCCTCGACTATACTAGCTAACGCAGCTTCGCTAGTTATAGAAGATAATCTTGTGAAGTTGTGTGTTTGCGATTCAAAGGTACCTCACACGTAAATCTTGCATACGTAATCCGCGCTAAAATCCACCGTACGTGTTCGAACTAGAGAGAGACATAATAATTTTGCTTGCGGATCGTGCGCCTTTGATGAACGCACACTTTGCACGAGGATCGAGACTAATGCGTTCATTAATTATCGTAATTGCAAATTTCTTTTAGAAGGACGAGGTTTATCTGAACCTAGTGTTGGAGTACATACCCGAGACCGTGTACAAAGTCGCTCGGCATTATAACAAAAACAAGCAGACCATACCGATCAATTTCATCAAGGTAAGATTCTTGGATTTCTGGAAGTGATTCGCTCAGAGATGAACGTTTGCCCTTTCAACTACTGATTTATGAAATTCGCACTTGTTACACACACGTTTATTGAGCTCGTTTATACTGTTTATTAACTTTGTTTTGTACGCTACTTGATTCGTTGCGTAAGTGCTGAGTACACTGAAACTTGTTAAATTGCTTTTATAAACAGACAGTGTTTGTTGCATCGAATGTCAATGTGAGAAAATGTCTTTGTCAAGGTAGTCTTTGAGCCGAATCACTCCTTTTTATGTCATTATATTCAGTTCTTTCATTTTCAACCATCTAATTTCCAAAATAATTAAGTTCATATATTCCCACATTTCCTACATCACTTCCTAAATTACCAAATCCTCAATTTATCAATTCTTCAATTTACCAACTCTCTCAATTTCCACATCTCTAAATTCCCAAACTTCCAAACGCTAAACCTAATTTACCAGTAATAAATTAACAAACAACTTGCTCCGTTACACTCATTTTTCCTACAGAACTTACTATATTCAATGTACAACCAGGTTAGCGTTAATACATATTTCCATTTCTGTTTCAGTTGTACATGTACCAACTGTTCCGCTCTCTGGCATACATCCACTCGTTGGGTATCTGCCACAGGGACATCAAACCACAGAATCTACTGTTGGATCCAGAATCTGGTGTCCTGAAGCTCTGTGATTTTGGTTCGGCCAAGCATCTGGTCAAAGGCGAACCCAATGTGTCTTACATTTGCAGTCGTTACTATCGTGCGCCTGAGCTCATCTTTGGTGCCATTGATTACACCACAAAAATTGGTATGTTGATATTTGGACTTACAAACTTTTGCAAGTCTACTAACCTGGACCGTAACAAGTTTAAATATCCTTATGATGGTTTAAATAACCTGTGACAGAAGTAGAAAGATCTATTTTTACTCTCCTTCCTTCTCTCCCCCTTGTTTATAACTGTATCATTATAATTGATATAGTCTGATGCTTAGATTAGATTAAAAATATAAAGCGTGCAGCATCTGAACAGTTACTATTGCTAAATAAAGTTATTGTATAGTGCTTGTCAACTCTGTTCTGTTAACTACTAGGTTTAGTTTTATGATACAGTAATAGATTATATTAGAAAAAGAAAATAAGTAATTTTAATAATGATTAGTTGTAAGGTTAGGCTATATTACATTAATAATATAAAGCGTAAAGTATCTTACTAGTTACTGTTGCTAAATAAAGTTATTTTGTAGTGTTTGTCTACTCTGTTCTTTTAACTACTAGGTTTAGGTTTATGATACATAGATTATATTAGAAGAAGAAAATTATTTTAATAATGATTAACTATAAGGTTAGATTACATTGGAAATTGTTAGCATAGTCAGTTGCCCAGCTCTATTAACTTGCTCCATCCTTCACACTCTAGTAAACTAGTTTTTCCTACCCATAGCGATACTTACTCTATTAATATAAACTAGCCTTAACGACAAAATACTCTCTGTTCGCAGACGTATGGAGCGCAGGTTGCGTGGTGGCAGAATTACTGCTTGGTCAACCGATTTTCCCCGGGGACAGTGGCGTGGATCAGTTAGTGGAAATCATCAAGGTCCTCGGCACACCAACCCGCGACCAGATACGCGAGATGAACCCCAACTACACAGAATTCAAGTTCCCACAAATTAAGGCGCATCCGTGGCAAAAGGTAGCCCACAATATTGTGTGCACGACGTTAGACTTTCTGAAGGATATCTCCTAATCTGTAACTACGTATACGTTCGTGATAAATCCTCTTCGTGACTAACGGGGCAAACGCGTGGTATGTGCCCTGATCTGACTTCATCTACCAGATGGACTGATAAGTAGATTTTAATAGAAACAAAATGTATGTAAATTAAAGACCAAAGTAGGTTCAGTTCAATAATAAAAGCAGGAGCTGAAACAGATTTTATACCTGAAATAGATTTGACCTTGAATTAATTTGAGGTACATGATTTAAACGTCCCATTTGTGAACGAAGGATCAGATCAGGGTACATCTCGTGTAATCCCTTGTAAACCCATGTCAGAATTGTGAGGGTAACCTTGGTGCCGGGTAAATTGAAGGATGTCAGGGGTAAGGTTCTGTACAGTCTCGTTCCTTCTAACTGAACGGTTTAGCTATACAATCGGCTTTGGCCACTTTCATCAACACATGTACTCGTGGTTACAGTTTATGCTTCAGCGAATGAGTGGACTAAAGTGTTCCACGGAGCACCAAAAGATTAGAGTAAGTGGTCCCTGTTGAAACACAATGTTTATTACATTACTTACTGGCAAATGTTCCTATTTTTTTCTCTATACCATACTAACCAACGTAACCGGCTGAACAGGATTATCTCGAAATAAGAAGAGCCATTTTCACTCGGACCTCTGCCTCGTTCCATAAATCCACATCTTCTTTCTAGCGTCATCATTCTCATTTTCATTCCTCATCCTAATTCTCACTAACCGACGAAACTTTGACAACTTGTAATTACTCAAAACTATCACTTACTCTAATGTTCTGGTGACGATCGAACACGCTATATTGTTTTTGATAATTACAAAGGATTCCCCGAAACTGTATGTTTTCGCGACGTAAGTTAGCACTTCGAGACCTAAGTTTATTGTTTCTTCCACGTATTTATGTTTTTCGTGCGCTCTAAATAGATGTACCAAGTAATTTTTCGTTGATCGAGAAACTCTGCGATTCTGCTGTTCAAATAAACGTGATTGTTATTGAAGGAAAGCGGTACACAACGAGTCTGGCTCGCCGTCAGACGCGATCGATGATCAACCTCGCACCGGAATAAGTTTCAGAGCATCTCATATTACTAATACTACAGTAATACATCTAATGCATTTCTCTTGTATGAACGATACTATTTGCGGAACGTGTTGCTCTGTCACTTTATCGCTTTTTCAAAGGATTTCATGTAGTCTGCGTTGCAGTGCGAGCCGAGACAAATGATTCTGACTACCTAGAATTATGTTGTGAATAGCCAAAATCATTTGTCCTTGCGTCTCCCTTCAGACGAGTGCTTTTTTCATGAGATCAGATGATAAGGATGTGCAGAGCTGGAAAGAAGTGAGGTGTTAGATTAAGTAGAGATCTTTCCAGCTCCGCACATTAAAATGAAAGAACGTTTAGAAATTATTTTAATAGAAAAACGCTCGTTTCAGCTTTCTTGTAGGTTTGTTATACGATAAAGGTTGCTAAAGATGTGATCATGATGGTTTCAGGTGTTCAGGGCACGCACGCCTCCAGAAGCGATGGAGCTGGTGGCAGGTCTTCTGGAATACACGCCGTCCGGACGGATCACACCGTTGGAAGCGTGTGCCCATCCGTTCTTCGACGAGCTGCGAGAGCAGGGCACCCGGTTGCCCACCGGGCGAGATCTTCCTCCGTTGTTTAACTTTACAGAATACGAGCTGCGAATTCAGCCGTCGTTGAACTCGATCCTAAAGCCGAAGTACATGCAGACTTCGGAGAATCCTGGAGGCCAGTCGGAACCGGTCGCGGGGTGTAGCGGTAACTCTAGTGATAATAACGTGAGCACCAACACGCTGTCCACCTCAAAGAACACAGATCCCGGCCAGTCGAACATGGCTTAAGCTGCTTTCTATTTTTACCATTATTCAGAGAAAACACACACACATACATACACAGACACGAAAGAAAAATAAAAACGGAGAATTCACGTGTTAGATACTAGCCTTAAACGTACGGTAGAGAGCGAGAACCGAGAGGATGATAATGATCTTCTGAGGAGGATGTCCCGCGTTTACACTTATATACATACATACACGAAGACACGTTACACGCGTACACACACACGTAATCCCAGATTGTAAATTGAACTCGATGCAAATGGCGATACCGTGTGGTCTTTCAGCTTTGTTCGCTTGATACACGAATGACGAATGGTGGTCCCCTTTTGTAACGGGTTCACCGTCGACAACACGACTCTCACAGTGGCGTGCGAACGCTTGATTGCCACCTTATTGCCAAAAAAAAATTCAATTCAGTGTATATATAATATTATAGGAACTGGCCCGTAACTTCTTTAAACGATAATTGCTATATATATATAAATATATATATATTATATATATATAAAGAAACAAACAAAAAAAAATTATATGCGAAGTTTTTTCTAGTTGAGAAGATGATGTGTAATCTACACTGTGTCTATAGTAGCGCGTCAACGTCGCTTGCGTCGTCATTTTCATCATCGAATACCCACACCGCGCGATCAAAAGAGATGAAGCCAGCTTGACACGGGTGACCGACCGAGGAGAACAGGCTCGCAAGAACGTTTCATTTGGCCAGTCAAAAAAAAATAATTGGAAACTCGTCGTTTACAGATTGTGTGTACAACGTAGAATGACAATTATTTGGCTCGGTCCGTGTTTCGTTCGAACTATCTGTACACGAAACACGCGTCGTGTAATATTTTTATTGTGTTCAAGAGGGACGAAGGTAGCAAACGCGTTCATTCATCTTTACAAGATGAAAAGGAGAGGACACGCACGTTTCACGAGGAGAATCTCAATCGGACACTCGAGTGCAACGTAGACTTCCTTTGGATTAGGGATTTCGAAGTTTAGTCAAATCTGTTTTGGAACTTTGTATTCTGTTATGGAAAGAGTCATAGGACTTGGGAGGTCTCAAAATAGGTCCTAAAGAGCCTTAAAATATCTTGAGGTTAAGAGATCATATGATAGTCCAATTCTAAGACAATTTAGTGAATTCATGGAGGTCCTAGGATCCCAAGGAACCTTAGACCCTAAGTCAAATTTAGATAGCTAAAGAGAAACTCAATTAAAGTTAACTTAATCTCATCACAACTTCAGTAATCATGACAACTGGAGTTCAGTGAATGTAGCCTGAGTTAACTGGACTTTAATTGAAGCTAACCTAACCTAACCTCAACTGAAATTTAAATGGAAATTATCTTAATCTAACATAGATGAAAGTTGTCGTAATGTAACCTAGCTGAAAATTATCTAAACTTAAAATTGACCAACGCTATCTTAACATCTAATTGAACCTAACCTAAACCAAAGGGAGCCTAAGCTGCGCGGCTATATACACGCGCGTACACAGCGAGAACACATTAGTATTTGCGTGCACAATCTCTATTTATCGTAAGGCGAATAATCTCGAAACACGCAAACGAGCGACTGTTAGCAAAAAACCCGTTGGTGATTCAAAAAATCCACGCAGACACGCGTTCTTCGTGCTGGGACGATTTTGATCGCTATCTGTATTCACCGATATTATCCTTGCTAGTAATACTCTCATAAATACGTCACGCAATCACTGTATCTTTGAAATTCACATACACTATTTGTTTTTGAAATTATTGATCGTCGAAAGCACGTTTCAAGCGTTGTGTCGGCGTGAAAGAAAATTTGCGCAACATCATTGTGTAAGCAGAGTCGTGTAGGTCTTCAGAGATTCGACTGGCAAATGCATAGGGAAATAAAAAGAGGGTTTTTGTCCCTAGGACACCGTGTAATAGAGTGTATAATGTACGAGGAGATTTGTACATTTGTAAACGGACGACAGTCCCTTAACCTGTGCAGCTGGAGCTTCGATGCATGTCGCGTGACTTAGCCGCCATTATTACCATTTCTACATATCATTGCGTCGCAAGAAATATAAAAGAAAGGCAGGCTGCCGATGGAACACGAGAGTCCGATTTATTTCGGTTCCATTTTTTCTTTTCTTTTTTTTTTTAACGAAAGGACGAACGTTGACGGGGAAAAACGAGAATAGAAAAATGATAGACCAGAGAGAGAGAGAGTGCGTGTGTGAAACAGAGTGTGAATGGAAGATGTAAAAGCGAGATAAATCTTGACATTCGTTTCAGAGTTTTATGAATGTTGATAACGATGTAAATTAAGTTTTTAATCGATTAACCCCATTCTTCTTCTTTTTTTTTTGGTAAATGTACTTCGTTGTTAGACGAAATTAGCCGATTTCCTTTCTTCCCTCTAGTCCGTCGAAGAAACGCGTTTAATTTTTGATATTTCATATTCGAAAAAGAGAAGTGCGCTCCGACGAGAAGAAAACTTGTCTCTTCTTTTCTTCTTTTTTTTATATAATACTTTAACGAAAAGGTGTTCGCTGAATTGTCGATCATGGAGCTGGAAATCCGAAGAAGTTACTTTCAAAATAATGGTCGTTACAATTTGTTTAAACGTTCATGCGAGTTTCAGCGACTTTGGAGAACGGCCATTATTTTAACATGCGATCGGAAATGTGATCGTCAAAGGGAAAGCGATCGACCAGAGAATAAAAAAAGAGAAAACTGCGCGGCGCTGCTTCCGACATTTCAGGCGGACGGAAACGGTGGACTCAGCGGTAGAGAAAACCGGAAGTCCCGGGTCTGGCCGTCGAAGAGAACGAGTTTTCGAGCGCATGATAAAACGTGAAACGATAACGCACGGCTTGAATATAGATTGTTGGTTATTTGTCGTAATTATTCTATTAATAAAGAAATTCATCGATTTGATTTGATTCAGTCTTTCTCATCTCTGTCTCGCTTGTGACGTGTGTGTCGCTTGTCGCGCTGGCTACCCGTGTGTGCTTGGAACACTTTTCAGAAACGAAGATGCGTTATTGAAAGGAAGAAAATCAATGGTCGGACGTCCCCGATGCATTGATTTCATCGTTAGTTTTGCTTTTAAGGCTTCGGCATACACGATACACATTTACATTTATCACAGGGTGTTTCATAATACGTGGAATCCATTTTTATTTACTGGACGTGGTCGAGTTTTAACGTTTTGACAAAATTACTGTACTTGGCAATTTTCTTCCTTTACACTTTTTATTCAAAAATACTTATCACGACACATGGCGATATATGTAGAGCCTCACAGATTTTGAAACGCCCTGTCGAACGAGAAACGATGTGGCGAGGCACCCGTGTAAAATACTGAAAATTTATATATATATGTATAAATAATTTGTATTCATATGTATGTATTTATACCCACGAATGTATACATACATATAATTGAAAACGTACGTATAAATATATATATAAATATGCAGACTAATTTTTAAAGAGTTTGTAAAGAGAAGAAGGATGAGGAAAGAGGAGAAAAAAAAAATTACTCGTCATCGTTTCACCGACATTTTCATCGCTGTTACCACTGCAACTACTCTTCTTTTTCTTTTTTTATTTCGTCCTCTTACTTAATCGCATCATGTCGCGCCGTTTCGAATCATCTAGTAAATAAATTGTAATAATTGTGTAAAGAAAGATTAATAAAGTAATTTAATATGTATATATATGCATATATGTATGTATGTGTGCGCGAGTGTGTGTATGTGTGTGTCATGTGCAAATGTATATAACGTGAAACTCGGGCGGAAGAGCGTTTTCCGATGTAACCGATTAGTTTCATGCGGAGTCGGTTTTAAAGGATCAAGAATATTTCTTAATCTTTGTAGAATAGTGCTAATCTTTTTTTCTTTTCGAAGCCATTCTCATGGTGCAGAGCGTGATGCTCTGATAGCTTAGTATAGTCGGGTTTGGAAGTGAAATTCTGAGAACCACATTGTAAAGTTCTCAGCTTCTAATAAAATCAGAAATTTATCTCTTCGTTTGCAGAACAATTTTCTAAATAAAATTTAGTTCAAATGTAAATTTGAGTTGTATTTCTGAACCCAACTATACTCCTCGTTAGAAAGAAAAGCTACTTCTAAGATGGACCACTAACTGTTTGTACTATTTACGATAGATACTAGAATTCTTCCGTTCAGATTGCACGTTGAACGATTGCGACAGACTAAAACGAGCAAAGGGAAAAGAAGTAGAATAAGCGCTGTATGTTCGTTGTTGTATGCTTGAGGAAGCTCGCGATAATTCTATAGTTTATCGTTACGAGGATTTTTCATTTTGTATATCACGTTTGGTTCTTCGTATCGTAGAACTATTAGCGATGAATAATTTAGCAGATAATAACGATTATGCTACACGTTCGTATGTAAACACGTTTTGTTGCGAGCATTTTTGTGGCGCGTAATTTAAATGATAAGAGTGATTCATTTAATACGAAATTTGTCGATAAAGAGAAAAGGTTATCAATAAAAGTTGCTCGATTCGTTCGAGCAATTGTAGAGAATAAAATGTGTTTATTTCCTTTTTTTGTATCTATTTTTTTTTTCTCTTTTTTTTTATAGTTTTCGCATGTGTTCGAAGAAAGAAGAGACGCAATTTCGTATTAAACTTCACCGTGCACAGGCTTGTATCGTTTGTACAATTGTTTCTGCAATTGATCTCGTTTTGTATCGTCCCCTGTGTTCGTCTTTTCGTTGTAACGATGTGTGATCCTCGAACGACGGTTAGGTTAGGTTATTCGAATTTTCCCGCCATTTTTATTCATATTTGCAACAACTCGATATTCTGTGACAAATTCATTTAAATTAAATTTATATAAATAGTAAATTTATATATTTACGATGTACTCTTTATGATTCAGTGCATTTTTGTGGAATTATGCGAAGATTAATTACCGATTTCACCGACAGGCGACACTATCGTTCGGGGATCTACCGATCTGTAAATAAGGAAATTTAGGACACTTGAACTTTTCCCAGCTTCGGTCTTTTTCGAGTCAATTTGAACTGTCGCTTTTTTGATACGGTTAACCTAAAAATCGAAGCTCCTCTTTGATACACGTGACTTTTTCCCATCGAGTCTTTTGACCGGACGCCATTTTGAAAACCTGGTCCATCTTTAAAATTCGCGCAATTCTTGTCACGTGTGGCACTCGAGTTGGCTTAATCTTTTACACTCTAACATTAAATTCTGATCTCCTTTTTTAATCATAAAATACTTACATATTTAAGTTCTAAATTATTGCATTTTTTTTTAAATTATAATCTCTATATTTCAAATATGAAACTATTTTGAACTTGTATAGAAATTTTTGTTGCATTGGAAATTTTTTTAAAGTCCCATTTTCTGAAAGTTTAATAATTTCTGTATCCAAGACCAAAAACCAGGGATGATTGTCGCAAAAGAGTGCAAAGGGTTAACCCTAGAAATGTATAAATCTACACGAGAAAGAGGATAAGTCTTTTACGCAACCGAATTTAAGGGAAACCGAGGGAGATTTTTAGAGTTTTAGCGACACGGTCGAATTTTGATAAGCTTTTTACTTTTGCACCACTAGCAATTCTGTCCGTAACCGTTTTCTCGCGTTTACACTTTACCTCCGCATAAAGGTAAGACAAAGGGTAATTTAACCGTTCCCGCGATATTAGACCATTTCGAATCTAGGTAATCTTTACTGCGAAATATAGTGGCAATACAAGCGGTTCACCCGTTAGAACAAAGTTGAAAACTCGGAAACCTTATTTTTTAACGACTGTACACTGTCTTCACTGTAAACAAGTTGTAATTTTACTGTATTGCAGTCGATGATTTTGTACAGGTCGTTTTATCCTGGAAGGACTTCGTTTCGGTTGAGAGGAAATTTTTTGGAAATTCGATATTTTTGAAGCGTGTATTAGTCTTTCCAGGGTGACACCCCTTCGCTACTGTCGTTACCTTCACTGTAAAAATTTGGAAGCGGGTCCTAGAAATCTTGGTACGGTCCTGAAAAAGCTGTTTGGTCCTAAAGATGACCCTGAAGGTTTATCGAACTTCAAATTTCAGATTTAAAAATTTTAAAGTTGTAAATCATAGAAGTATTAAATTTATAAATCTACTTGATCTAATTCCGAAGTTTCTAAATTTGAAATACTTGTACTGAATATTTGCTCGACTCTGACCTGAAAAAAAATTAAATATGAGAAATAATCTGTTATTTTTATTGTTGGAGTGAAATTTACTTGCGTTGATAAAATTAGAAATAGCGAAGGGGTTGACCAGGACATCCTCTTCAGAAGCGTCCGCCAACCTGTCCGACAGAGTCATTACTTTTTCATATTTCATAAATAAAGAATAAAACACGCTGTTCACCTTAATACTCACGTTCCACGACGTTCTGGGACATCCGTTATTCGATTTTTCCGAATACGAGTGCAAAAATCGCGTGGTATTCACGCGTCGAATCCCTTCGGAAGAGCAACACCTGATCGTTCATTTCCTGTTCTTGAACCGGTCACGTGACGAAGGCAGAGGATGAAGAGGACAACAAGGGACAAGTGAACGCTTAAGAGAGACTATACAGCCACTTAAGCGATAACTATAGCAATTTAAGAACATCGATTTCTCGGTACGTCGAGAAACGGCACTATCATCTTATAGAACGAGTGTTTGTTCCTTACGGTGTGGACGTCGGTTATGGGAGTTTGCTCGAGATGCGGTGGACGTGTGGCGGATGTGGTTATGGTTTGGCGGTGACTATACTGTGGGGTGACTGTAGTTCGCATTTATTGGTTTATGAGTTATTAGATTTTTAAAGTTTCAAGTGTCAAAATTACCAAATTTCCAAATTTCAATATTCCCCAATTTCCAAATTTCTAAATTTCCAAATTCCCCAGATCTCATATTCCCCAAATTCCAAATACTCCAAATTCCACTTTCCCCAAATTCCAAATTCTCCAAATCCCAAATTCCCCAGATCCCATATTCCCCAAATTCCACTTATACCAAATTCCAAATTCTCCAAATCCCAAATTCCCCAAATTCCAAATTCTCCAAATCCCAAATTCTCCAAATTCCAAATTCCTCAGATCCCAAATTCTCCAGATCCCATATTCACCAGATCCCAAATTTTCCAAATTCCACTTTCTCCAAATCCCAAATTCCCCAAATCCCAAATTCTCTAAATCCCAAATTCTCCAAATCCCAAATTTCCCAAATCCCAAATTCCTCAGATCCCAAATTCCCCAAATCCCAAATTCCCCAGATCCCAAATTCTCCAGATCCCAAATTCCCCATATCCCAAATTCCCCAGATCCCAAATTCCCCATATCCCAAATTCCCCATATCCCAAATTCCCCATATCCCAAATTCCCCATATCCCAAATTCCCTAAATCTCAAATCCCCAAACCTCCAAATTACCAAATCCCAAATCCCCAAATTCCCAAAACCCCCAAATTACCAAATCCCCAAATTCGCACATCGCAAATCTGATCACAGACCCATGACTATACCAACATGACTATAGTCTAATGCTGACTATAAATCGGGCAATATCGCGGTCATTCATGTCCAATTATAGTCACTCATTCACAACTATAGTCAGTTGTGTATAACTACTTGGAGCTTATCGAATTAACTATAGTGACACTCGTTAACTATAGTCAACACATTCATAATGCGCACATCACTCGTAACTATATAGTCTAACTATATAGTCAGCTGCGTACAATAACTGCATATTCGAGAAGTTCTTTTGTTAAATATAGTCATACGTTTACTATAGTCATCGTTCGAGCGCTATGCAGTCTATAAGACTATAGTCAACGTTCAAACGCTACAGAGACTATAAGACTATAGTCACTCAATGACTTTGTATTCCATGGGATCTATAACTGTCTTGACTGTGGGTATAGTCCATGTGATGTATAATTATGTAGTCCATTTGGATTGTGAGTGTATAGCCCTTCTGATCTATAACTGTATAGTCCTTGTGGACTGTGAGTATATAGTCCTTGTAATCTATAACTGTATAGTCCTTGTGGACTGTGAGTATATAGTCCTTGTGATCTGTAACTGTATAGTCCTTTTGGATTGCTTGTACATAGTCCTTGTGATCTATAACTGTATAGTCCTTTTGGACTGTAAGTGTATAGTCCTTGTGATCTGTAATTCTATAGTCCCTCTGGACTGTGAGTATATAGTCCATGTGATCTGTAATTGTATAGTCTATCTTGACTATAACTGTATAGTCTTATGAACTATAACTATATAGTCCATATCGACTGTTACTACATAGTCCATTTGGATTATAACTGTATAGTCCATGTGATCTGTTGTATCTATCTCAACTATAACTGTATAGCCCATACGAACTATAGCTACAAGTCCACATCGACTATTACATAGTCCATGTAAACTATAACTACATAGTCCACTCGGACTATAACCGTATAGTCCATGTAAACTACACAGTCCACTCGGACTATAACCGTATAGTCCATGTGAACTACAAGCTCCAGCTATACAACTTCATGACAGTACACTCGAGAACTGTATAGTCACTGTATAGTCAACTATAGTCACTCGCTACGTAGACCACAAGACTATAGTCGAGCCCAACTATCCGCTTACTAAAGCTACCGGTATAGTCAGCCTCGAAATCGACTATAATCAAGTCTCAACGCTTATCTAAGCCCGCGAGCCGACTATAGTCATCGCGTCCCTCCGACTATACTCGATATCCACATCGTACACCTGTTTAGCGAGTTCGACTATGGTAATTCGAAGTTGAGTTGTAACAAGCCTCTCGTTTTTACTTGTACATGTTATTTAACGTAAAGCGGAGAAAAGAAAACGTCCATGATCCACGATTTAATCATCGTCAGTACTATACACACCGGGAGAATAAGAAAACTGTACGCCGTAACGTGACAGGGCTACCGTTACTCACAACTATATTGTATTAGGGAAAAGAAATTGTGTTTATATATACATAATTATATACATAGGTACTACGAATAAGCAGTTGGACAATGACTTAAAATAAAAGAAGACGGAAAGAGACGCGGAGAAAGAGGAAGGATTCATTTCGTGTGGCTGTGCGAGCGAGAACAAAATGGAGTGCCTGATGCGTGCGAGATGAACACAGTGCTTTGCCGGGAAAGAGAGAGAATTAGCGGTTGGTTAAGTGTTAAGGGTGGATTTCCAAGGAATCTCGAGCGTGTACATACATATATATGTATGTAATGTATATATACAGAGCGCGTACGCAGGGTGTCACATCCTTAACGATCTTCGGGTATCTCCGGAACTATTCGTGGCTCCACAAAATATTTTTAATAGAAAATCATTTCAAAGAGTTGTTCATTTTTTGATAGACTGTAGCGTTGTATAAAATCATTAACCACTTGTGTTCAATTACAATTAATCTTCATTAATCATTTATATTAAAATTATAATATATGTCTTCTTACATGTATGTATTATCATATATGTCTACTTTGTTTTAACAAATATTCAATATTTGATATTTAGGAAATATTTTTAGTCACAATTTAATATAAGAATAAACTACTTCTTCAGTGTTGACATAAATAAATTATACAATTTTTTAAATAATCTATTCAATTATTTTGTGATCGAGTAATTTCAGAGATGTTCAGCGACTGTTTGAAATGTGACACCCTGTACACGAATATGCATATGTATGTATAGGTAATTAACGCGGCGACACTATATGCGTTATGCAACAAAGCAAAGAAAATACAAAAAAAAAGAATACAAATAATAATAGCTCTTGCTACGATTGCTATATTCACGAGATTGTCACCTGACCTCTACGAGTTATTAAAAAACGATGTTCTATGCAATCTTTGAAAAAACAAATGACAACCGACGAACAAAGAACGGGCAACATCGTTCGCTTCGCTATCGTTCACTTGTCGGATGTGTTTTCAGTTTTACACGGTTCGCATTGAGAACCAGCCAGATATCGGTAACTGTAGAAATATCAATGGATGTGTTTTATGCGAGGATCGAATACCTCCGTTTGTACGGGGGATCTTTATGATATTATTATTATTATTATGATTCTTATTATTATTATTAATTATTATTATTGTAGATTTTGTGGTTTATTTAAGAAATAAAACGATAACGTTAACAGACTACGAGTTCATTCATCTAAGGCAGAGTTAACTCAACAACGTGTTTATTTTGTGAAATACAAAAGGCTGGTCGAGAGATTCCTTTTTTAGGTTAAAGTTCTTTGTAAAAACTTGTGTGTTCAAAGGTGCTATTCTGCTGCTATTTGTTGGCGTAACTTGGATATGGGGTGGAGTTCTCTAGGTTAGGGACATGAAATGTAGGACTTCAGATACTATTGAGAGACTATTAGAAACTTAGATATTTGCTAAACTATAAATTTTCAAGTTATCAAATTAAAAAATTGCCAAGTTTCCAAGTTATCATATAACTAGGTTACTAATTAGGTTACCAAGGTTATTTAACCCAATTGGTAAATTTCTAAATACATTTTACCCAAGTTCTTAAATTTCCAAATCCTCAACATCCACATCCTAAATGTACAAACTCTCAAGTTTCCAAATTTTCAATTGTTCAGATTTCTACATCCCCAATTTCTAATTTCTTAAATTTCTAAATTCCTAATTTTCAAACTCCCAAATCTTCAAATATCCAAATTTCCAAATCCCCAAATCTTCAAACACCCAAATTTCCAAATTCCTAACCTTCCATCCCACACAAGAATCCCAGTTACGCCAATGACCCCAGATAAACCACCTGCAGCGACACAAAAACTTCCAATTCCATTTCAAGTATCGTACAGCTAACGTAACTAGTTTTTGCGCTAGTTCGACACAACTAGACAGCGCGTTCCGAATACCGAATTAGAAGAAAAGAATTTGTAGACGATTGATACATATTCTAAATCCTATATACTTCAGCTGATTGCGACGACGAAACCTAACCTCAAACGCCCAGTAATGATCTTCATTCGTTTTTCAAACGCGTGATCATAAGTTTATGACGAAAGAAACTAAATAGCAGCTTCGTCAACCTAGCAGTACTTTTCTTATCATTGCGCCGCTGACCACTTCGTCACCGTCACGTGACTCCACGCACTTCCTGCTGCAGAGGTATTGTAACAGTGGTAGACGGTATTTGCCGCAAAAGTCCACAAACTTCACGTGTTCTACTCTGTTGTTGAAGAATACACCTGTAAGAGAAATTAAAATCGTTGATATTTCATGATGTAATGTGAATAATGTAAAGATCATAAGTTGATGAAGAAATATTGGTTTGATGATGGTAGAGAATGCAATATAACATGTGACCATGTGAGATAAAGTTGTGTGACCCCTTTTCAAACCTCCATGAAATTAAATTTCTAAATTTTCAAATCACCAACTCTTCAACACCACTCAAGTTTCTAAATACTCAAATCTGAAAATTGAGTTAACCTACAATATAAACAGTGGTAAGAGTGATGGTATAACAAAAGTGACAAGTAACACTCTACTATCAACACATTTCTGAAGCATCAAAAATCAACGCACAGTGAGCGAACTCCTGTCACCATCTCGTCAGCCATCTTGTCAGCTGCACGCAAACGATAACCGTGACCGCAGCGTTTCAGGAAATAACAAATAGTAACGCAGTCCGGACGAATGCTTATCTCGTGAACTTTTTCTCGTTGGCATGCGTAAAAATAATCCGCGAGAAAAACGCGATGACCGATACAATGTGGTGGTCGAACAATGATGCACGCGATCGCATTGGCGCCGCGATTGTTGCCGAATAGACCTTTGAACTTTGAACGCGACTAGCCGCTGACCTTTGCACTTTGGATTGACGCAACGGTGCCCGCTGTTTAGATACTCCACTAGGTTTCTTGGTAAACTCTCCTCGTCGTACTGGATGTCGATGGTCTTGATTACTCGGGCGGCCAACTCCAGCAAGGATGGCGGGTTGTGCGTCATGTCGGACACGAACCTTACTACTAGCGGATTATCCCTCAACGATAACTGAATTCACAGAAAAGGCAATAGGTTATTATGCGTCAACGACAGTGATATATAACAGTCAACAATTTCTGATTTGATGCTTTAGTCAAGTTTAAACTTATCTATCTTCAGTTTTATCTTTAACAGAACTTTAGATAGTTTTGACGCACCTTGTGTGTCATATACTGTGACGCACCTGGTGCGTGCTGTTCTAATATAACATATATTAATGACGCACCTTATGTGTCATATGCCCTCTATAGGGTGCAAGGCATGACGCACCAGGTGTGTCATATATTGCTCATATGATACCTCAAATGACGCACTAGGTGTGTCATATACTAGTTATCTATATACGGTGTCAAGGACGACGCATCAGGTGTGTCATATATTCTTCATATGATACATTAAACGACGCACCAGGTGTGTCACTTACTACTTATCTATACGATGTTAAAGACGACGCACCAGGTGCGTCATATGTTCCCTATACCATTTATACTGTAAATATAATATATGGCATTTCAACTACGTGACACTATATGTAATCTAATACGGTACAGTTTGTTGACTCACCTGGTGCGTCATATACTACATACGTGATACATTCCAGGACGCACCAGGTGCGTCTCCTATATAATTCAGTACAGTTTGATGACTCACCTGGTGTGTCATATACTACATACGTGATACATTCTAGGACGCACCAGGTGCGTTTCCTATATAATTCAGTACAGTTTGATGACCCACCTGGTGCGTCACATACTACATACGTGATACATTTCATGACGCACCAGGTGCGTCCCCTATGTGATACAGTACAATTTTATGACGCACCTAATGCGTTCTAAGCTATACAACTAATTTATAGGTGCACCATATATGTTTTATCGATGTAAAGTGATTGTAAAAGATTGTGAGGTGGAACAGATACCTCAGTTAAACACCTCAAGGTGATAATTTCAGTCGGCAGTGTTCTCAGTCTGTTTTTATGAAGCAATAACGATTTCAGATTCGTCAACTTCGCTATGGAACTAGGTAAGTTCTCAAGCATATTATCACATAATACCAACGCCTGGAGGGATTTGAGCTCCCCTAATGTTGATGGCACTTCCGTTAGCCTGTTGCCTCCCATCGATAACACGTGCAACCTGAAAGCAGTGAAATTATTATCAAATGATCTCAATTGTTGGTTAGATGAATTTGCAAATTTTTAATATTGAAATTGTTGTTAAATTGTTTAACTTGTTTTTTATAAATTGTAGGATGCTTATACTTGTAAATTGCAAAGACTCTATATACCAAAATTCTTCAGTTATCAAATTCTGAAATTACTAAATCCCTAAATTTCCAAATTCTTAAATTTCAAAATTACCAAATCCCTAAATCCTCAAATTCCTAAATTCTCCAAATTTCCCAAACCTTTAAATTCCCCAAATTTCCAAATTTCTCAAACCCCTAAATTCTTTAAATTCTCCAAATTTCCCAACCCCCCAAAACTCCCAAATTTCCCAAATCCCTAAATTCCCCAAATTCCCAAATTTCGCAACCCCCAAATTCTCCAAATTCCCAAATTTCCCAACCCCCAAATTCCCCAAATTCCCAAATTTCCCAACCCCCAAATCTCCCAACCCCCAAATTCCCAAATTTCCCAAACCCCTAAATTTCCCAACCCCCCAAAATTTCCCAAAACTTCCAAATTTCCCAAATCCCTAAATTCCCCAAATTCCCAAATTTCCCAAATCCCCAAATTCCCCAAATTCCCCAAATTCCCAAATTTCCCAACCCCCAAATTCCCCAAATTCCCAAATCCCAAATTTCCCAAACCCCTAAATTTCCCAACCCCCCAAAATTTGCCCCTAAATTCCCCCAAAATTCTCAAATTTCCCAAACCCCCAAAACTCCCAAATTTTCAAATCCCCCAAATTCCCCATACAGACACTACCGAAACCAATACCTCTGCAGTTTCCAAACATCCTTGCTGATCTCCGTGATGTAATTCCCGCCCAGATACAGATACTTCAGCTCCGCCAGATCGAGAATCTGATCAGGGAAATCCGTCAACCTATTTCCACTGAGATTCAACTCCCTAAGACCCGACAGGTTCTCGAAACACTTGGGCAGCGAATCGTTTGTCAGGTTGTTGTGTTTGGCCACCAGACAGGACAACGGACAGTCCCCGAGGAAATCTGGCAGCTCGTTCAAACCGCAGTTCGATATATCCAAGGAGTTTAAGTTTGTAAACCTGACGATGTTCTGTGGAACACTGGGCAATCGGTTTTGGTGGAGCAATAGAGTGTCTACTTGTTCTGGACATTTTGCGTTCATGAAATGGTCGGTTAGGACTTGGGGATCCAGCATCAGGTAGGATAAGTCCAAGGTCTTGGCGCTGGAGTCTGAGTCACTGGAGTCGGACGTGTAGTTCTCCATGAATGTCTGAAATTGTAATTAATTGTTAATACAATGGTTCTGTTTGAGGATTTAGTTATTTATTAAATAGTTTAGGAAGTAAATAATTTATATTGTGAGGGAGTTATTTTAGGATTCTTAGCTGTGGTGTTCTAAGTTTTATCTAAGTAATAACTCATTAAGTTATTGGTGAATGAGTGATGTTAAATTTCACTACTTTTTAATTTGTGAATTTGAGTATTTGAAAGTTTTTGATATTGAACATTTTCAAGTTTATACCCTTATCAGTTGATTAATTGAGAGATTTCTAAATTTGAGAAGGTGGAAATTTCTGAGTTTGCAAAATTGAAAATTTCTGAATTTGAGAAGGTGGAAATTTTTAAATTTGCAAAGTTGAACATTTCTGAATTTGAGAAGATGGAAATTTCTAAATTTGCAAACTTGAAAATTTCTAAATTTACAACCTTGAAAATTCCTAAATTTACAACCTTGAAAATTCCTAAATTTGCAAACTTGAAAATTCCTAAATTTGCAAACTTGAAAATTTCTAAACTTGAGACCTTGAAACCGTAAAAATTTCTAAGCCTTCCCCCCACAATCCCCAAAAATTAATAAAAACAACATCCATCTGCAATCAAAAGCAGCACCAATAAATACAACAAATCATAAAAAAAGAACAAAATCTTACTTCGAAGAAACCACAAGGAAGTGCAGCGTCCCAACCAGGAAAAGCAAAGCAACTCGATCAAAAAAGCGCAAGTAACTGTATAATGTTTTCGCGATAAAACAAAGAATTTGTTCAACGTATGCTGGTTCGTGTTATTAGCTTATCATTTGCACGCATAAACACTGTGTGCAAAATGTAATCGTGATATTTCAGTCTCATTTTAATATATGATTTATCTCCTCCCACTTGTCGTTTAATATCGAAAGTGGGGGAAGTAAGGAAATTTTTATATTGATACTCAAAATGATAAGTGAGATCAAGTATATCTTTGTTTTTGGATACTAACTTAATTTCTGAAATTCTAATTATTATTTTTGAAATTGTTTTTAGAAAGCAGTATGTTTATACAGTTGATTCTGGATGTATACTTTAAGTATCATGTTACACATATTTAAATAACATAAATTTTTGTATTGTTTTGTTAGTTATTTTAGTGAAAATGAATTATTAGATGTAGTGAGAAAAAATAATTGTACACAGTATATAAAAAGAAATGATCACATTAATAAAATTACTAGTACTATTAATAATTAATAATTATTACTATTAATTATTATTAATTACTATTAATAATAATTATTAGTAGTATTTTTATTAATATTAATAGTATTAATCGTTATTATTAATAATAATACTATTACTAATAATAATACTATTAATACTATTAATATTAATAGTTATTATTAATAATAATTATTAATAAAATTATTATTACTATTAATAATTAATAATTATTACTATTAATAATACAGTAAAAATTAACAATTAGTTTAATATACAATATTGTCAAATGAACGTCCAATAAAAAGTAACAAAATACCATAAAGATTGAATACACCCGAAAAATAAAATGGCCGACCGACAATTTTTCACATGTTCAATATGAAGATTAATAGGTCATGGTAAATCATAATTTATTTACCATTTCATTTCTAGATAAACATTTCAAAATATCGTGACAAAGCAAAAGTATGTAACAACTCCCATTAACTTGTTTATGAACAAAAATCATTTGACATTTCCTTTGAAATATAAAATGGAGATATATTTATCTACAATGACTATCAACTTGTCACGATTTTAAAAAGTATCGATATCAACGTTATTTAACATTTCTGAAAATTATTGTAACCTCTGCTCCGCCATTTTGAAGGTTAAAAACAACTCTGATGTTTGTCAATACGTCTAATATTTAATAAATATTGTCAGCGCATCTAATATTTATTGTCAGTTTCAAAAAAACAATGTTTAATGTTCAGTTAATGTTTACAACTGATGTTACCTAACTTTTCCTTATATTACATATGCAAAATTTATTTATCTTTGTAGTTTTCGCTTTCAATTCAGCTGTTACATAAACGCGATAATTTACTACGTTGATAAAAGTCAAATTAGTATTAATTTGATGATTGGTAATCGAAGTTGATTTACGAAAATAGTTAAAATCTAATCTTCGTATTTAATTGCGAGAAATTTCAAGATCATTTTCGTTGTTAGCCACGAAATGTTTTTAATGTTACAGCTGTGTTTGTGATATCGTGATAAGTCCACCACGTGTGCATTATAACGTGTACAATTACACGCAGCAGTTTTGCATCGAATTATCGATCATCGAGAATTTACTACATTACGTAAAATTGCGTCGATAAAATTATGCTTTTTTCAATTTTTATATCTTCTTTCAATAATTCTTGACGTCATTACGGTAATCATATTGCGACATAAAGAAAAATTTTACACTCTTTCAATCATACTGATATTCATTTTTTTCTAGTTTAAAATTTTTTAAATTTACCATTGTATTTTAGAATTTCAGAAATATTCCAGTAAACTGAAACTTAAAACATAAGTCATTAAAAAGAATAATCGTTTCCAAAAATAAGTTTTGGAAATAAAATAAATAAATTTTACCTAGTGAAAATATAAAAAGAATGGTAAAGACTGTTCTGTTCTTAACGAGCCACTCTGTAGGTAAATGTTTTTCAGATAACGCTAATAATTCAGACAGATAATTCTTCAGCTCTCCACAAAGGCTGTCGTGTTATCAGGGACTTAACACGCACAAAAGAGTTCGTGTCCGAGGATCTTGAACCTAGGGGTTCTCACGTGACTTCCGCCATTATCACGAGGTCATCTCCGAAACAATGTTACAAATTGATTAAAATCAATGGTCAACATTTTACCGTTTGACTCTACCTTGACCGAGTGCTATTAAAATAAAAATTCCAGGAAGATCTTACCTGAATTTTATTTCACTTTCCCTCGGTTATAAATTCCCCCCTTTTTGTCCTTCGAGAAAAACGTTCAGAATTTCGCGGCACATTCGCTCACAGATCAAAGTGAAACTGGGGCGCACGATCTGCTCGAGATGACGTACGAGACTGAACTATATCTTGTGCTATCAGTTCCCTTTATAAGTCGTCTCGGAAAACACTTGTCATCGCGAACGAGATCACCCAACGCTGATGCAATAAAGCGAGAGACACGTCCTGAGAAAATTCGTATCCTTGGTCCAGAGAATAATGTTTACATTATCCCGTTGCATGCGACACAACCTAACCTGAAATTTACCGAAGCAACTTTCTACAGTTGCACACGTCCACAAAAAAATATATTGCCAAGGAACGGTAATATTGCAGAATTCTGCTGGAAATATAATAAATATATTTGCGTTGAGTTGTCTTTTAATTTATCGCATGCTACTTTTAGCGAGGGCTGTGCTGCAATTTAAATCGACTCTGCATATCGGGTGGGACAACAATTATTTTCCTTATTTTCAGTCACACTTTTAACTTAATACTTCGAGGAATTTTTCGTGCGAAAATATTAGGTTGTTAATTAATATAATTTATGTTTTTTTATATTAATAATCGTAATGTTATGTGACGTTTTAAAATATCGTTAGATTATACCTTTGATGAAAAATAAACATTCTAATCTAACCACTGTTACTCTATGAATTTAATTTCTGGTACTTTGCGAAATTTAAAAATTTAATGAACACCATCTAGCAGTGCGAATCCCGAACTAAAAATGATGTAACAGGATAACATGAAAGTAAAAGGAATACTCACAAGGACTGTACACTAACTTTTCGAGCCCTGGGCATAAAAAAAGCAAAACTAAACATGAATGAAACAGAAATGAAAGTGACATTAGGAAAATTTTAATGTATAAGCAATTATGGTTTGATGTTACAAAATAATATAAAATAGAAAGACCGTAGACATTAAAGTGTTTTGAGTAACTAAAATTTTATATCTGTAAATTTATTTATAATATCTTCGCATCAAAGAGTTTTTGGAAATATGTAACGAATTTATTTTGAATAAGTTTTAGTAATGTGTCTAGTTTTTATATAATTATTTTGCTTAATTCTAAATGCGGTCCTGGGATGTATGAGATATTTGTCTACACGATATAGACCACGTGTAAGTAGTTTGTGCATTTCTAACCTGTGTATAAGTAGATTCGTAGTGTTACTACGAATAACGAAATTTTTAATTCATATTTGAACTGTTTTCTAGAAGAAAGTTATTAGAATAAGCGTGTAAATAAAAAAATACAATTAGAACGAAGTACAATTCAGTTACAGAATTGTTTATGTAAGTTACTGTAACATGAATATAAGTGTTGAAATATTGAAATGAACAATTACTATTTTTAAATAGTAATTAAAGAACAGTAAAATATTCTTTTAAACGTCTTTTTTTATGAACGAAATTTGATATCTTGTAAATGGCGTTTTTTAACAAACTGTCACGTTTATTTCAAATGCAGTATTTAAATATTCATTGCAAAAGATGGCACATACAATATAAATTAAGAGAATTCTATGCACTCAAGACTATTTGGAAGGAAAAGTTTTCAAATATATTAACAGAGTCAAATAATATTCCCAAAGAAACATGGGAAACTATGAGAAATATAATGCTGTCGAATAATAAGTGTGAGAGTACTGTTGACACATTAATTTTTTTATTATTCAAGGAAGAGAATTGTATGAAAGCAGCAAAAAATTATTATGAATTTTTAGAAGCTAATAACTATAATATTCCTGTATCTGCTTTACAAAGGTATCTAACATTGTATGCTTCCTCGAAAATAATACTTACAAATGAGGAAAAAGTACATATTTCAAGTGTTTGCAAGAAAATTATGGATCAGCATAAACATTTACCTGCAGTTGTAGCTTCAACTGTTATTAATTCTTTATGTAAAGTAGATGAATTAGATAAGGCTATTATGGTCTTGAAAGAGTTTGAATCTTACGACTCTAAAATTCTTATAAAAGCTTATCCTTCACTGATTGTTTCTATATTGGCAAATGGTAATTTAACTATGGCACAAGAATATTTGGATCGTGCACTGCAAGAGGGTACAGCCCCTAATTGCAAAATATATGACGCTTATTTACGTTTCTGTTTACGGGACAGAAATACATTTAATGAAAACATTGAGAAGTTGTTTTTATTATGGAGGAAGTATGGTACAAAACCGCTGAAGCGCTCTATAATAAAATACATGGAAGCTTGTAATGAACTTGGCTGGTCTGTAAAATTCATGACCAAATCAGAGTAAGTCTGGTGTATTCACACATGTATTTTTACATGTTCTGTTTATTTTCACTTTCATTTTTCCTGTTTTATTTCATTTAGTTCACTATGCAACAATTGCCATCAAATAGTAGAGGAAACAGAGCTTTCTGAAGAGGAGTATAAACGTCTACATGAAGCAATTGCACAGAATGTAGTCACTAATAATGCATATAGAACATCAGATCCACAAGAATTGAATGCCTTTATAAGGTTTATAAAGTATCGGAGATATGATTATGTTATTGATGGGTTAAATGTGATGTGTAGTGTTACACCTTCCCCGCAGCATGTAAGAACTAAATTTATTCAGAGAAACATGTGTTTCACTATAGTATAAATTGATCTCTCTATTTCAGTTTGCATCACTTCTTAGGGCTTTAAAGAAAGAAGGTAAAAAGGTGCTTGTTATTGGAAGACACCATATACAGAAAACCATCATGAATCGGGATTTACAAGATACTGCAGATTATTTCTACGTGAATGATTTGTATGTGCTTTAATGTACCACATTAATGTTTGTCGCATAGGTATTTATTTTATTTTCTTGTTTCAGATCAAATGATGATGCGTTTGTGTTACATGCTACATTTTTAAGTGGAAATGGTACTAATATTATCTCCCAAGATTTAATGCGCCAACATAAATTTACTTTCAGTAGTATTGAACTGGAAGTTCTTTTTAAAAGGTGGCAAATGGTGCATCAGTATACTGTCCGTAAAAATACAAACATTCTAGAAAAATTACATACACATACATATATAGATTCATATGTTGTAAAGAAAAATAATTGCTGGCATATACCATGTGTTAAAACTTCCCAAGCCTTGAAACCACAAGCGTGTGATACGTGGGTATGTTTTAAAATGTCTAATTGAAACGTATACACTTTTAGACAGATTTATATTTATTTGTTCTTTACTGTATCTTTTGACATTCTTATAAATAAGCGTATAAGTAAATATAATAACAATTTAACGATTGCATTTTTATTATCCTCAATAAATTATCTTATTTCGATAAATATTGTATTTTCTTTATATAAAAAGAAAACGTGTGTCCTAATATTTTTGTGTCACGCGCGATATTACCGGTTTATGTAATGTAATGTTTATTATCACCAATAAGTTAGCATAATTTTAATCTCGGTTGATAAAGTAGGTTGTGGCATGAAAATTAAAGGATTCCCCGAGGTGCAAGACAAAAAATAGCATCGAATGATGGATCTACTCTATACATATTTCGTCTATGGTAAAACTCGGGACAATTTTTTACGCAAACTTTTTGTCCAAGAAATCCGTTGTGATTGGCGAATGAAAATTCGCCTGAATAGAAATAAGGGATACAGTATGAGCCAGGATTAAACATTTTATCTCGTCCTGTAACGGATATCGCGAATTCTTCGATTTTGAACGTATCTCTTCGAGCAACGAACTCGCATACCGGCTGAAATCTCTAGAGTGCAGTTGTAGTCGTTTGTTAATTCCTTTGACAGACGCGTAGAGAAATTGTTGTTGCTACGTGGTTAGCTGCACGGAACAGCTTTATCGGGTACGCGGTAAAAATAGATGCTTTATAAGAAAACGTGAAAAAAGAAGAATCTTTGCGAGTATCGTAGGATCTTTTTGGTCAAATCTAGTGCGGTACATGTGCATTGTCCAATCATTGTCGAAGGAACCGTTAGAAGTTTCCGTTGTGTGCGCGTTTGAACGATCTAGTTACACATTTGTCATCTGCGTGCGGGAACCACTCCCGATTGGTGTTACGGTGTTTCCGCGATATTCGGTAAGTTTTTCCACGGGTATTTTGAGGATTAAAAATATTTGAAAAATACTTTAATGCGTTTTTAAGCTCGGAACCAGTGGCTAGTGTTACGTCTTGAGAAAATATCCGTGTATCGAAGTCATGGCACGTCGAAGAAAGAACCCCGAATATGTCGACGGCCCAATGTTTCGAGCCAAAAAAGCGAACGGAATGTGATTCCTTTTAAGTCCGCTTTGAGATCGACCGTTTAAGGAATATCAGTGACCATTTTTCTGATTAACCCATTGATTTCTTATAACTAAGCCACTGTGTTTAACCGCGGGCTTTTGAACCCTTTCTATATGTAACATACATATCATTTCACAGTATCAGCATGTTGATAACGTATACTTTATTTGTATGTATTACCATTTATGAATCATTATGTTTTAGCCACTGACTGAAAAGGGGATAACATCATGGCTGTTAATGTCTATGCGACAAATGTGACAACTGAGAACTTAAGCCGACATGATATGCTAGCTTGGGTAAATGATTGCTTGCAATCGTCGTTCACCAAAATAGAAGAGCTATGCACTGGAGCGGTTTATTGTCAGTTCATGGATATGCTTTTTCCTGGGAGTGTACCATTGAAGAGGGTCAAATTCAAGACCAACCTTGAACATGAATATATACAAAATTTTAAAATTTTGCAAGGGGGTTTTAAAAAGATGAATGTAGATAAGGTAAGCGATTGAAATGTTTGTAATTCTTAGATGAGAGACCTAAGGATTATAATCATTAATATGTTTTAACATATTGTACTTTATAAGAAATTAGTTTTAATTAAAAAATGTTGGATTGGCACAAATTTAGAAAGTCTTTATTTTTGATATTGGTTCTTTAGTACAGTTGAGAGAAAAGATAATGTAAAATTAAAATAATGAAACAGTTTGTTTCATAATAACATGGGCTCACATTATACAATAGAAAAGTATTGCATTAAATGCGATATGCACAAAAATGTAATCCTCCTGTTATGGAAATGGTTCAGGTAATACCAGTGGACAAATTAGTAAAAGGCCGCTTTCAAGACAATTTTGAGTTTTTACAATGGTTCAAAAAATTCTTTGATGCGAATTATGATGGCCGCGAGTACGATGCTTATGAGGCTCGTGGCTGTATACCATTGGGTTCTGGTGTTGATGGGACGCATAACTTGTCAAATCCTCAATTGGTACCTTTACCTCCTCAATCAAAGCAGATGCAAATGCAGCAAAAGCATATTCAACAACGTAATATTGTCCCCCGCCAACAGCAGGGTATAGCAACATCGTGTCAGTTCATTAGTGTTGCTTTTGCATGTCTTATATTGTTGTCTTCATAGTTCAAGAAAGTATTATGCGCTGCATAGAAAGTTACTCTGGCTGTGCGTAATTGAACCAATAAAGCATTTCATATCTACAGTAAAGTAGGAAGCACTTTATGCTTTTGCGACTTTAATCACGTTTATATGTACAGATACACAAATTGAAACTCTAGCACAGTATTTCTTAGTATATTGTTTGTTTATTTCAAGTGTAAGTAGAATATTTTTGTTTTATCATCATCTTTAATTTTGTGTTAACACACGTATCTCTTGCTTTTAATTGCAGGAAATAGTTCTCTAGTTTAGGTGAATATAAATATTGAACATATAAACACATTTATTTATCACACCAATTTATAAATACACTTCAGTAGGGGGCAAAATATAGAGGACGTAATATAAACTGGATTTACTTGCTAGATGCAATGTTTATATACTTAGAACACCATGATTACTTAATCCCTGTAACTTGATATCTTTGTTTACTGTATCGATTTCGTTATTTTTATATAATTCAATAAGAAAGTTGTTGACATTTACTGCTAAACAATGTTTTAATAGATCACGTTTTGACTTTACTCGATTTTCTGTAATTTATTAAGGTTTCAGTTTCTTTTTTCTTTTGTTCCACATGCTTTTTTGCTAATCATTTGCAGATTGTTCCAATTGATAGGCTGGTCAAAGGCAGGTTCCAAGATAACTTTGAATTTTTACAATGGTTCAAGAAATTCTTTGATGCAAACTACTCCAGAACAGAGCCATACGATGCACTTGCTATGCGAGGAGGAGAACCTATGGGTAGTGGTGGAAACAATGCACCGCATGGCACTAATGCAAAACGCACCACACCACGTGATGTAAATTCGTCTAAACCAGCTGGTCGTATTGGTATATTACTTCACATTCTTTTTTCTTTTGTACAATTTGAAATTGTGTCATTAAACGTGATACAGAATCAAGAAATAATTACAAAATTAACAATGGTTTCTTTCTAATCTGTGAACAGTTTGATCAGGTTTTGCTTATATACTAATGATCTTTAATATCAGAGTTATTAAAGATCATGATAAATCATTAACTTGCTTTGCTTTATTTAAATCCTCTTAAGTGATATGATACATTATATATAAAAAATATAACAGATTTATTGTGACCTAATGAAATAAGAAATAGAATTTTACTTCAGGTCAAGGATCTTCACTTCCTGCACCTGCAGCTAACAACACGACTAGTAATTACTTTTTTTTATAATCTCATATTTGTATTTTTATTTTTCAATTTCTTTTTGTTTTATTATTGAACAGTTTAAAGGAAGGTATTCATAAAGAGAGTATTTGTTAAGGTGTTGGTATTTCTTACTGAAACAATGAGTAAACCAGTTTAGATCTTTTAGAACAATTCGGTTGTCTATCCTTCATTTAACTATTCAAAAAATTGTATTTTGCATTTTATTAATATTATAAATCAGTAAATCAGTTAACTGTTGCATGAAGTATAAATATTAAAGATGTTCTTCACAAAATATTTTGACCGTAACTTCAGAAGATTTAAATACATAGTTCATTTTATTTATCGTGCATAACCGTATTCGATACCTGCTTTGTTCCCGTTGTACAGTTCTCGATACAAATTGTTATGCTTTTCATCAGAATATACACTGCTTGCATAAATGTTTACACAGCATTGTTTTCGTGTCAAAGTAGATTTATTGTTAAGTAATCTTGTCTTTTTTTTATGTATATATAGTAGAATTAATCATAAATAATTTATATAACAGATAATAATATGTTAAACTTTCGAATACAGTTAACAAAGCACCACCCCATCGTCCACAAATGAAAACGGGAGGAATTGGAAATCGTGCAGATACTGGTAAAGTGGAGGAGCTCAGTGCACAGGTACAATAAGTTTCAAAAGTGTTTGTAATAATAGTTTGTGCCATTCTCGGTAAAAATAATGGTAATTTATTACAGTTGATGGAAATGAAAATGACGCTTGACGGGTTGGAGAAGGAAAGAGATTTCTATTTTGGAAAATTGCGTGATATTGAAGTTATGTGCCAGGATTATGACAATAATGGAGACCCTCGAACAATAGTACAGAAAATCTTAGAAGTCCTTTACGCAACGGAGGTAAAAATTTGAAATGTCTAAATTTTAGAATAAAGCAATAAGTTTTGATTTAATAAAAAAATGTTTGATTTATGTTTTACAGGAAGGATTTGCGCCACCCGAAGAATTGGAAGGCGATGGTCTCGCGCCAGATGAAGAGGAGGAATACTAACTTTACCTTTTTGTACAATCATTCAAACGAAAGAACAACAGCAAATTGTCCAAGTGCGTTTCAGTTTATTATGTTTAGCAAGCCAGTATAATTACCGGCATTAATAAACTACAGTATCAGTTGCATAATTATTAAACTACTTTGTATAGCTATTTAAGCATTTTCGCGCCTGCATTTTGTTACGAAGTTCATTGAGATCAGCACGTGATTAGGATAGGAAGTACGAGAAAAATAATGCACTTGAATAACTTGTATCCTATGACGAGTAATTATAATTAAGAAAGGAGCAAAGTTAGCGGTTCACGTATTGTCATAGTTCTTTATCGTAATACGAAATAACGGTAGAGTTCTGAACATCGACAAGTCATTAAAAATATGAAAAAACCGAAAAAAAAGAGGAATGTTTGGACACTATCCGAGTCCACTTTGTTATACAGTGAAGTTACGTTAACTATGTTCATTAATGTGTGAATGTTTTTTCGTTTATAAATGCACCGTTTTATTGCCGATAGATCATGTTGTACTTTCGTACCTCGTTGTAGTTTTCTCAGAAATTATGAACATAATTAAATATGCGTTCAAACCATTTTATCTTGTGCAATCGTGAAACAAAGCGAATGATATGTCACAAAATACTGATTTCCCCCGTTGCAGAATGATGTTGTATGCCAAGTATATCTTAAAACAAGATTAAATTGAATTTTACAAGTTTTATATTCATCTTTTATTTTTATTTTATCTGTCGACTCTGCGCGAGAATACACTGTACGATTTTTGTCGCATAATTGTACATTCGTAGGCGCGGTTTTGAGATTGAATCGAGGTGGCGATACGCAGAATTATTATTCGACGACTTCTGTTTCACGTAATCGCATGAATTCTGGAGATGCGAAGGATTTTGCTCTTTGATTGCTTCAAGCACGTTTTCAGGTCTTCGCATCTCCATGATCTGTCTTTCAGAAACAAGAATGGCCTTAAATCAGCGATATGAACTTGAGACGAAAACAGAGGATTGCTCGAATTGCTTTAGCGAACAAAACGCAAAGTGTATCTCCAAGCGCTACGTGTTTGTTAGTCACGTTGTGAGCAAAAGCAAAACAACGCGAAAGGAGAAAATTTGTAAAATTGTATGGACGAGAGTGAATGAGAGACAACGAATGAAAGAGGGTCTAACACGTAAGCAATAATTGTACGCTTATAATTTGCTGCGTGTTTATGACTATAATAATGCGTGTTCTTTGAAATAATCGATTCTCAATCATCATGAATAAATTATGTATCAATTTTTTTTTCTTTAGATTCTCAAGAGTAAATAGAGTATGAATATTATGGCAATTATTGTTTTTATTAATTTGCCTGTATATTATTCTTCTGGAGATTTATAATTTTAAAATATTCCTTTAAGGTTTCCAATGTTTTTTATAAAAGTTGATAAATAGTGTTCGGGTAACGAGTAATTAATTATTTTGTGTCAGCATTCCGATACTATGTCAATTCTACTGCGCACGCAAAGTGCAATATTTCGGTACTTTGACGACGTAGTATGGTTCCTGAGGAATTTAGAAACAAATTTCTATTAGGGTTTGATGTGTTTTGATGCCTAATAAAGCCAGAAAATCAATTTTTGTAGAATTCGGTCGAAAACGGTACAGGTGGCGCCATCTAGCGGCGAAATTGCGAACTAAACTGAAAAAGCGGAACTACGAAAAACTAAAATTTCGATTTTCTCCGAAATTAGGCAATTTTACGTATTTCTGAGGGTCAGAAATTGTTCTGTGACCTCTTTAGAACCTATATAATGTCACAAGAACCTCCTCAGAGCGCTAGAAAAGAAAATAAAAAGATAGGTCAAAACATGGACTAAAAAATTGGCGTCCATCTAGCGGTGAAAGTTGGAACTACAAAAATATAAAAATGCGATTTTCTCGAAAATAAGCGAGCTTTGAGTACTTCTGAAGCTCAGAGAGTGTTGTGTGATCGCATTAGAAGCAAAATAATGCAATAAAAGTTTCCTGAAAG